CTGCTGCTCAAGATTTTGTTAAGCAAACAATATTAAAACCTTGTCCTGAATAGAAGATATCCCGAACACAGAAATCCTAGGAATCAAAACAAATCCAAAGTCTACAACCAAATTTCAATCCCTAATAGCCAAAATACTCCTTTCTATAATAACTATACAAATAAAAAACAAAAACAAAGAAGAATAAAGGAACATACTTTCCATGTGGACGTAAAGTTTGATTTTGCACCGCCCAACTTACCCTGGTCCTTGTTGAGTTGCAGTTCTGACAGGTAAGCCTATTACAAGCTGCCATGGATGCCAATAAAATAATTAGAAGGAAAAACAAAAGAGTAACAGATAAAGCAAAGCTATCACTTTTAAGAAAGTAGAAAATGGCTTGGTAACTATGCAAAACTTGTGGGTTCATGGAAAAAAGAACAAATTCAGGCCTAAAGATTGTTATTTTCACACAAATATAAAGAATTGTGCAAATGACCCAAGTGGATTGCCATACCAAAAACAGTTGCCATAACATACGGAAGATTAATTTATTGAAATAGGACCATGCACCCCCATAGAAGACCAAGTAAAAATTATGAGTTGATAGAATTCAATTGCAGAACCATAATGATGATGATTGTACCTTACTTTGAAGTTGTTCTTCTGAAATGCCAGGGACCCTCCTGACCTCGGAAAATGTGTCCGTCAGGAAAGGTTTGGACCCTGGGACAATACTTGCTCGAGAAAACCGAGCAGGGCTGGAGAAGCGTTGTACAGAGCACGCCATCAGTGGAGAAACAAACTTGCACCCTGTTGAATGCAAAATCATCACTAAAGGCAATAATGCAAATCATTGTATGACTGTCCTGTTTCATAACTAATTGTAGTAAAACTACTGCTTACCTTTTCATTTAGTTTTGGGTATTACCAACATTCCATAACTTTAATCTTTCAGCAATTTTTTTTCACAGCATAAACTCAAGAGTCAAAAGAAATAAGAACTAAAAATCCTAGGAGTTCAATTGGTCGATAATTGCTACAGGTAGACACACGATGATGGATATAAGTAAGAAAAATATATGCCCTCATGAAAGGTAAATGGTGCTTGACCAACTGACCATGCACAATGATTGTCCACTTAACTACCAACTAATTAACCCAATCTGTAAACTTCTTTCAAGTGCTTAAAAGTCCAACCATTTTAGTAGAATATTCAAGTCACATTTAGAACTCCACTTAAATGTTAAATAGCAAATCCTTTGGGCAGTTTTTCAAAAAGACACTACACCACATATCCTCATCTATAGACTAAAAGTGTGAAATTATATTCATCAACAAAACTGAATACAAGAGTCTCTAATAGCCTATTTATACTAGAGTGCAGAAAACCTAATTGAAATAGGAAATTAAAAACCAAAACAGGAAAACAAAAGAAGTAACTAATAATTTAAAGGAACTAGAACCCTAGCCCAATTGACTAAAGGGCCCAAGTACTCTTGAGGAGACCTGTAGATGCTCCTGCATCACTTTTCCCCAGCAACCAAAGGAAAGCAAAAACAAGCCCTGCAATCCAAAAAAACCTACTACCTACACATCTGTGCAACCCCATAACATTAAATTTCACACAATGTTTATAACTGAAACATCACCTTGCAAGCCAAAATGGCAGAGAAAAGCAAATTTCAACCGATAGCCAAACAGCAAACATCTCTGGAAGAAATTAACATACATGTACAAGTCGAAACACAAACAACCAACATTAGAAGCCCCAAATTCAGGAAACACAAACAATTGCTAAAAGTGCAACCCTGTGAGTTAAGATGAAAATGTTTCCATAGCAAGATATCATATTTAGTGATATATAAGAACCTGCATGTAGAAAAATAAAAGACAAAAACAATAAAGCTCAGCAACAGCAAAGCAGCAAAGCAACTATAAGGTCAACTTATGTTTCCCTTTAAAACTCAGCAGCAACAAAGCAGAAAATTATTAAGCATACGCCATTATTTATTTATTTTTTTGGCACAAACCCAAATTTGGCTTAACTATCAGCTGAGCACTTCACCTTTCCTCATGTAAAATTGTTTTTTTTAATCTTTGATCAAATATATTACCCTTAATTAGATATATAATGCAGCTGTCATCACATTTAAATACAATCAGCTTGAATCACAAACCCAGACTTACAACCAGCATTAAGCACAATAAAACAGACATCCTAACATAGAGGCTTGGTAGCCACTACCACAAATCCAATCGTTTAAAAGAAATAAGAAAGTCTTTATCATTTTTCTCAAAGCTCATAATTTTTGAAGAATAGCACGCAAGAACCATGGGTTGAAATCATTCACAAACAATAGGGAGGGGTGCCTTTACAAGAAAGAGATGAGTTTCTTCAAATGTTATGCTTAGAGACAACTATGGTTGGTGCGCACTTAATTTTTCCTTGTGACTGTGTGATATGGTAAGTGGCATTCAAGGAAAAAACAGTATAATCCTTTAGGTAATGAATTTATGCATCTCTACGAAATGAGCCAAAAGTCAATTAAAACTTCACCGGCAACACTGAATACCCAACAGCCTCTGCCTCTGGAGTTTAAATCAGCCTTACTACACCAAAGTGGAAAATTTTCAAAGTTACTACTAAATAAAATAAGAAAAGCTTAGAGTGGTATCAAAACCTTGACCCAATATCCATGACAAACCAAAAATTAGGCGTTAGAATTAGCCTTCCAATTCCAGATCTCCAAACCCCCTTAACTTGAATACTATTCTCATTTTCTAAGTTGTAAACACGAATAAGAGCAAAGCTTTTTACCTTGTCCTCTTTTCCAGCAAAACCCAGAAAAATTTCACATAACTTGCCCCAATTTCTATATAAGTAAAAAATATTTACAAAAAAGATATACTACTTACAATTCAATACACAACAAATTTAACCCTGTATCAAATTAGGGACATAACAATTGTTTTGTTATACTGAATAAATCCTAATCCTATGAAAATGAGAATTACTACCTGTCACATAGCTTGAGATGCTGGGAGAGAGAGCACAATAGCGAGCCAGTGAGAAAGATAGTGCGAGCCAAATAAACAGATAACGAGTTAGTGAGAGAGAAGGACAGCCACCATGAGAGAGAAAAAGAGTCAGAGCTAGACAGAACCAGAGAAAATTCGAGCGAGAAAGAGAGAGAAAGAGTGAGCCAGTGAGAGCGATAGAGAAAGAGAGTCTTTTTAGCCCAGTTTACTCCTTGCTGCAGGAAATGTATTTTTGTCAAATCAACCCAAACACAAAGCCATTCAATTTTGCAAGAGCAAAATATGACTAATCAGTGCAAACCCAAGTCAGAAATCACACAGACGGCTCAAAATTTTAATATTTATACAAATTATTATCTGAAAACAACTTTCATCAATTCCAGAATTTCAACAAATGCTTTACCTGTTCGACAAACCAAATGATATGGCAAAGACGAAGCTCTTTGCTTCTTGCTTCACACTTCCCAGGTCGCTCGCATAAAGAACGAAGGCCAGCAAAGGAAAGAACGATGACGCAAATATTTTGGGCTGAAAGCCCCTCCATTAAACTTGTCTAAAATAAGCCCAGTAGCGTTTCATGAATACCCATATAGAACTGATTTGAAGAGAATAATCCAAAATTAGACACTTGTCATTTTCTAATTGGTTGTTAGAAAATTTTAACACACAAAAAACTAATTAGGAGATGACAAGTTTCTAGTTTTGAGTTTTTCTTTTCAAATAGATTCTATATAGGTATTTGCATAATATGTCATAAATGGACATTTTACTAAACCTATATTTTGTAAGAATCCGTGCTCAAATTTTTTATGCCCGCATGTTTCTTCGCATAGCATTTGTTTTTCTTTTTAGCGTTTTGGCTTTCTTTTTTCTTTTTTTTTCCCCAATAAATCCCTATCTTTTGTAACACTTTTGTGAAAACGCTATGTTGTAGTGCTATTAATAACAGACTCTGTTGTAGTGAGAAAAATGTAACAATTTTTTTATTTATTTAAATAGTAATGTGAGAACTTTTAGAAACTAACATCACTAAATCAATTTCAGGCATAAACCTGGTTCAAGTTATTGACACTTATTCTAGATGAGGTGAATTTTTTAGTGTGGATTAGGTTGATCGGTTGAGCAGAGGCACTTGTGTTTACATGCATTTGGCTAGGAGCCTTACCCATCAAGAAACTCTCTAGCAATCCTTATTGCATTTAGGAAAATAAAACCCTAGTCCATATTAATTAGAAATCCCTTTAGTCCATGTATTTAACTTAAACACGTATTCAAAAACTACAGGTCGAGTAGTAATTGAGTCATTGATCAATATTGAGCCCAAGAAAACCCTATGATGATTAGAATACCACTTAAGTAGTTATATTAGAATAATCCAAACATCTTGCAAAACAAATCTTACAAGATGTATGGTTGTTTGGGCCTAGTTGAAATTTGACCAGGTGATCAATGCATAATTACATATCATTTTGTACACTTCTAGCTTATGATTTGGTTATGTTTTTAGATTAAACTTGTGCTTTTGACCCTCTTTTATCTTTGTTTCAGTGTATTAAGCTTTGAGACTCATTTAATGCATTTTGAAGTAGAATTAGCTCAAAATTGTGTTTGCAGATCAGTCAACTTCACAGATTCGACTGTACGTGCTCAGGAAAAACCAGCTAATGAGCCATACATCACTCGAAAGATGTGGAAGTCTAGTTTTTGAAGTATTCAGTCAAGTTTCATGGAGTGTTAGAAAATTGGGTAAATTTCACTTTACTACCCGCAAGTTTACCAAAATTTAGACTTTAATACTTAAAGTTTTTTTTTTTTGTGTCAACTTCGTACCCAAAATTTGATTTTCCTACCACTTTCATACATCAGTTAGTTGATCGTCAAATCTTTCATTAAATAATGATGTGGCAATTAATGGATCCATGTATATTCACCATATTATGCCACATGGATTAAAAAATTATTAATAAATAAATTAATGAAAAATAAAAAATAAAATCATGAATATGTATTTAATTAGAGTACCTCCACCCAAAGGGCAAGGGTAAGGTAAAGACAAGGCAAGGTTTGTCACTATTCACGTGAATAGTGGCAGCCTTGCCTTTTTTGGTTTCACTCCAAAAGGCAAGGACAATGGCAATTACTATTCACTTTAATTTATTTTCTATTTTTTTATACTTAAACCATTAATTTTGATAAGTTTTTCGGATAAGATTTTCAGTTGCCACGTGTCAGTATTTATTATAAAATTCTCATCCAAAAATTTTATCTAAATTTTTGGATAAAATTTTCAAATTAAATTTTCGGATAAGATTTTTGGTTGCCACGTGTCCATATTTATTGTAAAATTTACATCTCACTCATCATACAATTGAAATAACTACTCACTCATCATACAATTGAAATACTCCCGGTGCTCATAGACCGACACAATCGAGTACAAAGACGACTCAATCATTGGTGGAGGCAGTTCCACCGAATCACGACATGGGGGGAGTATTTTCCTTCGGATGACGTAATAGTGCCATTATTTCCAACATGGAACGCACCACTGGAACCGATTACGGCCACTGTTCACTTGAGGAGCCATGTGTAATGAATTTATAGAAAAAAAATTCAAAATTTTTTGATAATTTGTTAGATATTTTTTAGCCAAAAATTGGACAGTCGTAGGATTGGGCAATATTTTTTGATTGGAGCCTCCAGGAGATGTCACGTGACTTGTAGCCGTTGGGCTATGTGGGCTGGTGGGTCAGCGCTGAAGGTGGAACTTGGGCCTGGGGTGGTCTGTTTCCAAGGCAAGGCCCTAGCGCTGCACTTGCTTTTAAGGGTGGTGATTTTCCCACTTTCTTTTTGTCCACTTACACTTTCTTTTGTTTTTAATAGTTTTTACTATAACAAAAAAGGGAATATAAATGGACCAGATATGAGTGGGAACATACAATTTCTAACAAAGAAAGTGTAAGTGAATAAAAGATGAGTGAGAAAATCAACCCTTTTAATTAATTAAAGGCTTTTTATCACAAATGGTCCTTCACGTTTACGAAATTATCACGAATGGTCCTTGAGATTTTTTTGTGACACTAATAATCTTTAACGTTTGGACTTTTTATCACAAATGGTCCATACCGTTATAAATTCTGTTAAGTGTCTGAGGTGGAAGATAAGTGGAACCCACATGTCCAATCACATCGTGACATGTGGATTAAATAAATAAATAAATATTTTTTTTTATGAAAATCCATTAAAAAACCATTTAGCCTCTCTCTCTCCCCGTTTCTCTCTCATTTCCTCTGCCCTATCTCCTCCCTGTGCTTTCCCTCTCCCTTTGTTTTTTTTGCCTCTACAACCCAACCACCCCATTCCCACCCGCTTCACTCAAGCTATTAGGTTTTGGTCTGCAGCCAGTGGTGGAGGTATTTGAAGGCCTGAAGGGGCCTGGGCCCCCCCAAAAATTTGATAATATTTGATTTTTGGGCCTCTATTTCTATAGATTTTAGAAAGTATACATAACAATTTTGCTTGTGGCCCCCTCAAGATGTGTTTCTCTTTCCAAATTAAGTATATATAATAATAACCACTTGACTGAAGGTTGTGAATGTTTCTGTCCACACGCCAGCTTTGATTTTTAAAAAGTGGAATCTAATGTTCATCAATATATTAATAAAAAATTTAAAGCATCCAATCAAATAAAGTTCCAAAAAATTTCCTTTATCAAATAGGAAGTAGATTTTTACCCAAATAAAAAAGGATTGGGATTTTAATTTTTGTTCCTATATAAAGCAACATGAACTTAGTTCAAAGCAGCAGCACACAACAAAAGAAAATAATTGAAATTGGTTGTTTGCTCTCCAACCTCCTGCTTCAGAATTTTTAATTCCAGGTTAGATAACTTTACATAGTCATAGTTTTTTTCCTTTGTTTATTTATTTTTTATGAGAATATATTTGTATATGTTTATGTGAGTGAAAAT